CTACTTGTCAAAGCTATTGATAACTACATGATGAAGTCTATAACAATTTCGAATTTCGTAAGAACTCTGGGTTTTTACGAAAAAGAATGCCAATTTGGAGATACGAATACACGATGCCTATCTTTCCAATTAGTTTTAGTAACTTGGTCACATTTTGTAAGGGCTTGTTCCTTGCTTCGACATGCAACATCTTTGGAATTGCTGTGAATGTTGGTTCTACCACTGGTGCAATAAAATTAGATTAACATCGTAAAGATGAACCAGATTATTTCCTATACGATTTTTTCGCGGCTACTAATTGTCGCCCCTCTTCTACTGATACTGGAACGTTATATTATATTCGTCACGTAGAAAACTCTCACGGTATTCGTTTACCTTCAATGAGTGTATCCAAAAAGAATAACAATAAATTTTTAAATACCTTAATGTCAACGTCCCACTCCTCGTCCTGGAAAATGGAATGATGTGATTACTCATCGTAATACGTAATATAATACTAATATAATAATATATAATAATATCCTACTCCCTCAAGTATCTAGTGACCGGTTTCGTAAATTGATAAAAAAAATTCGCATCCGAGTTCTTAATATTACTTTTTACCCCTTTCTGATAAGTATCGTCGCGAGAGCTCAAGTGGAAATGAAATGGCGGAATGGTTAGCTTACCCCATAAGATCTCTAGACTGCCTAGGTCAATACCGAACTCGCCTTCGGCCTAGGCCGAGTGGAGGTTTGGGTTACCCCCATATGACCCCTACTCTGCCTATGTTTGCTACTCCTGCTTTTAAAACTACCACTTGTGCGTGGAAATTTAATAACAGGCTTATTTTATAGGTGAACGAGCCAAAGGCATGCAAAAGTGAGTTTTACGACTATTGCCGAGCGAACCGAAGGCAGAGCTTACCCCATAAGACCTGTACACTGCTTAGGTTTGTGAACTGCTTTTAAAACTACCACTTTTGCGTGGACGTTTAATTATAGCAGGCCTATTTTATTGCCGTCAAAGGCATGCAAAAGTGACAGATTTAACCCTGGTGTCGAGCGAGCCGTAGGCAAATTCGGTACAAACCTAAGCAGAGTAGAGGTTTGACCTACACCATCACACATCTACTGTGCCTTATGTAATATGTATGTCCTTCGACAGAAAAATTCGCCTCGGAATATTTGTTAAGTGAAATTCGCCCTCTAAGATTTTTTCACAAAATATTAACCCCCCAGAACATTAACTTTCGAGAAAATTCAAATTTGAGTAATTTTCGTCGTTAAATTCGTTCACTCCCAGTTCCTAAAAACCTCGTCCTACAGAAATTCGCCTCTAATTGTCAAGAAAATTCGCTCTCAAATAATATTCGCCCCCTTGAGTTAATGTAATGCGGCGTTTTTCTGTTAAATGTTTAAACTGGGTTCGGAAGAGTAGCCTCAGATCGCATTGCCATAGCACCTAATGAAAAAAGGTGACCCCCTCCCTCTACTAGAGATATATACAAGAGGCATCAACGTTGTCGTAGAGAGAATCGTTGAGAAAGCCACCAATGTATCTATAGGCTTAGAAGAGGGTCACGTGTGGTACAATCGGTTACGACTAAAACCATCGAAATGTAACGGTTTTTGTATCCATTACAATACAAGTTTCGCTACCATAAATTTGCGTATGGCAAATACAATGCTGAATATCGCCTCTACTTCACTCATTTCAAAAGTAAAATATCGACATAGGCGTGGACATAGGTCTTTAACCTTACTTTAAAGAGGAGGAGGATATTTAACTAATCTTTATTTTGAGAGGCGAAAATTACCCATGACCTTCATTAACGTATTACAGTCATAATAGAAATTCGCTGTCCACATACAACCCGAACCGATTCACCTATTTAACCAAAAAATTCACATACGATTTGCAACGGCACCTATCTTTTAAGTCCCTAAGTATGCAGGTTCACTCTTCCCTTTCTTTTTTTTAGAATAAAATATCGGCACGTTTAATTGATTTGTCCTCGACCGCGTGCGGTTATAAGTTATGCGACGGTGATGCGTTTCCATTTTTTATTCTTTATAGATGCACTATAATCCCTTTTTTAGTGCTAGTTCCAAAACAAACACGCTTAATTAAGTAACCTAGATGTGTCCGTTCATTTTACTGTAAATGCACGGAACGTGAGTTTTAAATTTCAATTAAAAAAAATGCTCATGCCCGAAAGACCGATGCAACTCTGGCATTGCCCGCGCGAGATTTTTCCGCTGCTCGAACCGAAATGCAAAAACTATTAATCTGAGTCCCACAGGGGATGCGCGAGTAATGCATAACTTAATCAAACCAGATCCGAATGGTGTAGAACAACCCCTACCTATTCTAACTTAATTAACGCTTTTAGTAGGATTGCTTCTAGTAGTTAAGTAAGCCATTTGTTGTTAAGATCCATTTAGATCCATCATAGCCCCCGATATGCATTCTATTTGGGCGGATTCTTAAAAAACCCACGCTCTGGTTCCCACTAATTTGCATTAATACCATTTAAGCGAGTGCCCCGTCATTCTATATCAGCTGTATTTGCAAAAGAAATCCTACTGAGCTAAGATTAGCTGTTTTATTATCTACGGCTCACCGGAGCCGACGATTTCCTAAAGCTATTAAGCACCCTATAGAATTTAAATACGCAGAACAAGAATATTATTTCTCACTACAAGTACACAAATCTATTGCGACTATGACTCAAAACCGAACCTATCAGAAAAAATGTTTGTCGAAATACACACTGCCTGCCCTGGTAAATCTGATCCCAATGGTGTAGAACAACCCCTACCTATTCTTACTTAACGCCTTTTTTAGGATGGCTTCTAGTAGTTAAGTAAGCCATTTGTTGTTAAGATCCATTTAGATTCATCATAGCCCCCGATTGCTAGAGCTAAGATTAGTTCTTTTATTATCTACGACCCACCGGAGCCGACGATATCCTAAAGCTATTAAGCACCCTATAGAATTTAAATACGCAAAACAAGAATATTATTGGTCACTACGAGTACACAAATCTAAATTTACTCATCGTTACGCATTAGCTGTATTTGTCCCTGGAATATATCGGCGCTGATAATTTGCAATTGGGAAGGACCAAATTAAGCTGCGCCACATTTTCTTGTAACAAGTAATCCGAACCTTCCGGCACTAATTTACTTTATACGATACTAACGGACGGAGGCATGTCACCCAAAAGGTCTTCAAGAAATTGAAAATTCCTAGTCTGTAACGATTTCATCATTGCGACTAGTGATTGCGGTCGAGCAAGGCGAACAACCAGTAACGGAGATGGGGCATTATCATAAATCATGCGAAATTTACTTCGATGCCGGTCGGTGGTCAGGGGTAGTGGTAAGCAACCAATAGCGCAATCTACTTTATCTTAGGACTACATTTTTTCTGGAGGTGGGTGTTAACAAAACGGGTCCGCCTGTCACATCATGTCCGCAAGTCAATGAGGAGTCGCCGGTTAAGTTGCATCAACGGTTCAAAATGTGAAGATTAAATCATGTTCCCACTTATAGGATATTTGGACTGACGGATTAGAAGATGAAATATCCCCCAGAAATACGTCCGAACAACAGAGGACTAAATTATCAAATCAAATCTTCCTATACTGTAGCGAGCCCCCCTCTCCCCCCACCCTCAGTTTCCTTGAGTAATCTATAACCTACAGGATCGTGGTGTCAAGTTCGATCGTAAAGTGTTATGCCCCACCAAATACCCCCCAGCAAAGTAAGACAAAGAAGAAATCTTCAGAAAAAGGTTTCCTAATCTTCGGTTCTTGTGTGTAGCTGTCACAGGGAAACTCGAGGCTAGGCTCCCTGATCTAGTTGCCCCATTGTATCTTGTTTTTAGCCTAGAATATAGGTACCTTAGGTATACGTACTTACCGAACAAATGAAAAAGTGGAATACCTATATGCCCTCTAGTGATTTTACTCATTTGACTGCTTCACTCTTTATGAAATCCATAAAACGAACGTTAAAAGCTTTTCTTCCACTCACAATAAGACATTATTGACTTAAGAGCGGTTGCGGTTGTGGTTACTCAGATAAAATCGCACACGAGGTCTCCGGTTTGTAAACATCAATCTAATCCGTCGTGGATGGAGTGGTTGACCGTTTGATTATTTTAACGTTATGGTTTAACTTGTTTGTATCGGCAAAAAATTGTAGAATTTCAGACCCTAATCTCAGATGCCATCATTAATCACTTAATTGCAATAATTTAGCAGGTCTTCTACAAACCTTTCTCATTAAGTTGAAGTTTTTGACATCACCATTATCATATTTATTGTCTGCAGCATGTTTGCGCATAGCGGAGGGCAATTTGATTCGGCCACGTCTTGGTGTCTGAAGCCAAGGATTTCCCGAGCATTTTTAGGGAACAAATATTTTCAATTTGTATAGTTATAGGTATGCATTTAATGATACCTTAAAATAGTGGTGATGATATTCTGCGACTAAAACATGTTTTCCGCTGGACATTCCCATCGTCCTCATCATTTATCGGAATATATAAAGCTAAGTTTGGCAAATCACTTACGGCACCTCAAAAACGTATTCATGGGCCAAAACAAAATAAACACCTCCAACAAAAATAGATAATACTATGCATTTTCCGTACAGTGATGCGGAACAGTTTTTCTTGAACGTTCTGGCGCATTTTCCAACAACAAATTAATCAAAACTAATTCTAGGCAGTTTCGATATTTCCTTCTGATGAACTGTCTCAGCTGATTATTTATTTATAGGTGCAGCTCGACAATTTTTACGCAAGTTTGTTGCCGTTACATTCTAACAAAAATAATATTCAACACTTGGCAAGTGAAATGGAAATCGAGTTACACGAATAAATTATTTGTTGTATCAATCCACATCAAGTGTCCCATTTGTTGGGGGAAGTAGGAGAAATTTTGGCGAAGTTTGTGTCGCGCGATTCAGTTTTGAGCCTCTCCGTGTTTGTGCGTGCGAATTTTCCTGATTTTATTTGCGGAAATTCGTGCGAGGTATGTCGTAATCGCGAAAATGTCGCGTTTATGCATCGGTAAAATTGAAGCGAATTACGTGGTGGTGGGACGGTCTTCCTATGATTTATCTTTAAATCGGCCCTTAGAGACGTTAATTGCGCCAATTATTTAGTGAAATAGACAGAATAATTTCGTTTCCTTTTTAACACTTGCGATTAGAGTGATTGTACTGTTTTTACAAGTTCAATGTAATTGCGGTTTTGCGGTATTAAACAATGCGTGGGTTGGTAGTTGTTAACTACATATGATGTCTAATGGAACTTGTGTTAAATAATTTCAGTGTACCAAGTGCTGTTTGTGTTGTTTGCCGTGTTAATTAACTTAAACTTGATACGGCTCTTCAATTACGTTAAAAGTTGGAAAAATGGCGGGGAGTGTTTTACAAGGTAATTATCTGCTCATCAATTGCATCTTCCGACATACAACCTTCATGCAACATTAGGCCCCGTAACTGCTTAATAACCTCAAGGAGGTAGGCGCCCAATGGAACCTTTTATTACAAATATCTTGTGCCAAAGTACTTATTTTAGTTTGCTTAACGACAAACTATATCAATTTTTACTGACAACTGAGAACATTTTCCAACTTTTCCTTCAAATTTCCATTCTCCTGCATACACGACCGAAGTCCCCAAGGTAACATCTGTTTTGTATTTTCACATTCAGCAGCAGAAATTTGGATAAAAATGTTAACATAACGTTTGTCATTTATTTGTGCAACCTTAAGTATTTTAAAAACGTTCCTTAATATAACTCAAGGCGAATTTTCTAAATTTATTTATCTGATTTGGGAAAGCATTGGGTTACTACTGCCCATATCTTAATCTGAAATAGGTATGTTAATTATTTTTATTTTTAGGCGGTTACTGCAGTAATTTCAATTTTAACAAATGTACACAAAAATACGATTGTACGGACAGTTTCTTGCGTACGAATCAGATCAAGAAAGCGTTGAGAACTGTCTATTTGGGGTTTTTGTAATACCTCTCGAAAAGGTACAAGTGTGTCTTAAAAAAAGATATTTTTGACTTCGGCAATTCGTTCAAGGAAGTTTTCCATCACTTACTTTCATAATTCCAACGTATTGCGCTCCCAGTAATTCGTGCCCGGATAGTTTGCACCGTGGGATTTCGTTTTTGGATAATTTACGCCGGGAGAATTTGCACCCTCATAATTAGCATACGGAGAATTCGCATTAACGTAACTCGCAAAAGGATTTAGAAGCGATTTATGTGTATCTTTGCTTGATTTTTCAACATTGGAAATGTTTATGCTTTCGCGACGTTTTCGTATAGGGGTACAAGGTTATGAGTTTCGTTCAAGCTGCAAAAAGACAACGATGTCGCATCAAGTGACGATTGTACCGTACTCGACCGTGATCGGTAGGTGAAGGAAACGTTGCGAATACTGTCGATATGGTACTTACTTAATAGTGCTCAAATGTTTTGTTAATTCCAATTTAAAATTCTCGCACATCTCCTTTGATAGTATTACGAGCATGTTACGAGTGTTACGACGCTTGATAATATTATATATATATATACAAAACGAACGTTCACGCGAAATAAATGATCATGAAAATTGCGATAATCGCGACTATGAAAGCTAGATTTATTACATATGGTGTTATACGGGTACCATTCCAATGTCTCAGATAGTGCATTGATTGCGAAATTTGTGAATTATTTAAAAGTTTTAGAACCTTCTTCGGAATTACCTTTATACAGTGTGTATCTCGGTGTGTATAATGTACCTATAATTGGCACGGGAATAATTTGCACCAGGATTCTTACTCGGGTAATTCGAACCGGAATAATTTTGAAAGGGTAGTTTTCACCAAGGCATTTTGCTTCTTGGACGTTTCGGACAGTGATCATTTTCTATCTATATCTATAGTTCTGATGTTATTCTGATACAATATACCTAAGTACAACTACAAGCTTAATAAAAGTTTAACGGAAAAGAGACGCAATGGAAGATTGAGAAAGTCATTTCTGCGCCGAAAATTGCGTGGTTAAATTCGATCAATAGATTGAGCTATCTATCAAGTCGCTTCAAATCAAGTAGTAAACCGTAAACAATAATAATACTTCGTAACGGAGGTAATAAATCGACAGAAAGTTACTTGGTACATCATTTTTCAACAAATAGCAGTTCTTGGCATATTCAATTTTATTTATAATGTCCTAAGTTATCGATTTTTTTTAATTACTGAAATTCAATTCAAGAATATAATATTACGTTAATACCGTTTTAAAAGAATAATTACTAAACGTGAAAAGCATGTGGTCAAAACTGCAATTGCCATTATTGCTTTGGCTCCACGTTGCGCCGCACGTCAGGCACCAAATAAATAATGCTGTGTGCAATAGTCTACCAAGAAAAGTCTAATTAATATTTAACCAAATTAATAATTTGGAAAACTCGTGGCCTCGATCAACTTCAGAAAATTCCAAAGAATTTACTTTGCAAATTTTCCACCTGATATAAATCTTGGATACGAAAAGAAAAATCTGACACGAACAATCTATCCGGTTGGCACAATGGGTTCGAATGATCGATTGACAATGACAAAAATTTATTCCAAAACACATGAAATGAGAAGTATACAAAGCGTTTAAATTTAATTCTTTATTGTATTGACGTTTGTAGTTCGGTTCTGACGAATTAAATAAACGTAAACGAAATTTGCCTTGAAAAAGAGGAATTGTTGACTAATTTGGTAGTTTATTCTTAACGTGTTCCTGACGGAAAATCTCCATGTATTGTTATTAATTGCCTGAACACTACATTTAATTCCTCCAGTTCTTCTCATTTTGCAAATGGTAATTGTGTGAAAAAGAAGAAATTAATTCTTATTTAAACATATACAGGGTGATTCCTATAGTACCTGCCACCGTTTGGGAGCGTATAGGGCGTGCCTAGGGGAGTATTTTGATATAGGACACTTGGGGTCGGAAATCTAAAATAAGGGCGCCAGAACCAAATTTATCTTCTGGAATTTCACGCCTGTATATAGGCAACCCAACCGACCGACGTTTCGCGCGGAGCGATGCAGAGCGAGTTAGCGCGAGGAAGCGACATGGGAGGGAAGGAGGGAAAACGACAGTCAAAAGCAATAACGTTTACAAGTGTTCAACGTGGCCACCGTTGTTCTCAATGCACTTCCTACATCTAGCCAACTATTATTATACTATTGCCATAGTGTTTATTCACTTGATACGCGTCGTTGCAGACGGGATTTCGTGGGTTTAAACAAAATTCTGATCAAGTGTCAGCCACACATCGCCGCCTGAGATCGCTCCGTGTGCACCGCCGGCCGGTTGGGTTGCCTACCTACAGGCGCGAAATTCCAGAAGGTAAATTTGGCTCTGGCGCCCTTATTTTAGATTTCCGACCCCAAGTGTCCTATATCAAAATACTCCCCTACGCACCACCTACACGCTCCCAAACGGTGGCAGGTACTATAGGAATCACCCTGTATAGACGATTTGTGCGTTTACCTAAATGTCATTTTGAATTGAACCCTGTGTAACTAACAACAATGGCCAACCCGATTATAAATTACGATAAAAAGTCCATAATAATCAATAAAAAACTAGAGGCATTTAATTTCAAACGGTTTAAAAATACGCGGGTATCGTTTTCCCGTGGTGAAAGCTGGCGCTGGTTTTCTTAGAGGAAAGGGAAATTCTCCTTTGGTATTGAAACTTGCCTTGTGGTTTTTTGGTCAAAATAATTCGTAATTATTTCACGCCAGCGCAGCGCCTGGTTTAGGTATGAATAATATTATAAGTATCCTAGTTAAATTGTCACCAATTTTAGTTTTGTAACTCGTGTGCCAAATAAAGCCGACTGTTCCTGCCGTCTTCATTCCAAAAACCCAACCCACCAAGCTACCCGTGCAAAGATCATATTATGCACAATTAAAACAGTTAACTTTTCTCAAAAATTACCAGATTTAAAACCTATGTTATATCAAAGACTATTCAGGAGGTTGTCTTTGGTTATATTATAGTCACTTCTAAAATGTAAAATATGCAGTAGATAAATTATGTTTTTGAAATTCCGACTTCAGCTCGAAAATTCGGTCTGAAATGTTGATTTATTCCATCATTTATTACTTAAATCTTAAATTCCATCTTAAACTAATAACAAAAAGGTTCCAAAAGCAAGTTGGAACTTTCGGAATGTAAAAAAAAGACGATAGTTCACATACTTCCCCATAAGAACAATTTTTTTAATTTTACTGCCGTTCCAATTAGTTAATTATTTCATAATGAGGGTCATTACTTTTGCAAATTTTGTTTTCCGTCGAGCTTCCTGTTTGTTCAAATACATCGAAAAATTTTGTGTACAAACGAAAAGTTTGATGTTTAATTTGTAAATTGGTTTCAAAGCATTCGTGTTTAAATCGCCGAAATATATGAGGCATTACATCAGTACGTCTTCTTTTATACTCGCATTGAACTTTGTGTTCAGCTAAATAAAAGGATTCTCTTTGCTGCGCAAAGGACTTTGTTCTTTCCCAACGACGCGGCGGCGGCATCGCATTATTTAGCTTTGGTTATATGGAGAGGTTTCAGTTACTACTTGAAAGCTACTACAAAACAAATTGGATTCGTTAAAATCCGTCGAAGTTAAGTAGCAAGAATGCAACATCAGCTCGCTCAGAAAATTACCCTTTCGAACAGAGCTCGAGGAAGTAGCGAAAGAACGCCGATTTATTATGCAAAACATTAATTTCCGTATTAAAAATTAATGCGGTTTTAGTGCAATCTGTAGATATTTTTCGACACGTTCATGCAAATGTAGGCGTAGTACTAACGATAGCGTTATCTGACGAATTTTAACGCACTTCCTTGTTTCAGATCGTGACTAAAGCCCGGAAGATCCCAACGGCAGTGGAAGCGCAAAAATGAAATTTACACCAATTCATCTAATCGGCCTTAAAGCGAACGCCCGGATTACCTAATTAAATAAACGTCAAAGTGATTAACGACAATGTATGATAACATCACCACAACTCCCGCTACGAATTCGACAACTGACGAACAATGGCACAACGTGGTAACAAAGGTGACCATCTCCACAATAATGATTTTTATTATTGTGGCAGCCATACTCGGCAATCTTCTGGTTATCGTATCGGTAATGAGGAACCGCAAGTTGAGAATTATAACGAACTATTTCGTAGTTTCTTTAGCTTTGGCCGATATGCTAGTAGCGATGGTGGCCATGACTTTTAATTATAGTGTGCAGATATCAGGAAAGTGGCTTTTTGGGCGATTTATGTGTGACTTTTGGAATTCGATGGATGTCTACTTTTCGACGGTTTCCATACTACATCTATCGTGTATTAGTGTCGACCGGTACTTTGCAATAGTGAAACCGTTAAAGTACCTCATGTACATGACCAAGAAGGTCGTGGCAATAATGTTGGTGGTTATATGGACGGGTCCCGTTGTACTCTTACTACCTATTTACATGGGTTGGTATACCACAAAAGAACATTTGGAGGAGATGGAGAAAAACAGAGAACTTCAGGAATGCTCTTGGATTGCAAACAAGCCATATGGCATTATAAGTAGCTCTGTTTCGTTTTGGATTCCATGTGCGATAATGATCTGCATGTACTTAGCTATATTTAGGGAGGCCAATCGACAGGAAAAGGCCCTTTTTACTAGACAAGGTAACGCCATGTTGCTGCATCAAAACAACACCAACGGAGATATGCTCTCTAATTCCGGCGGATCATCGAAGAATCTGACTATGCACGAGGTAAACCAGGGCTTACATCACACGCCAACTAAGGATCGCAATATAATGAAAATGAAACGTGAGCACAAAGCTGCTAGGACTTTGGGTATAATTATGGGTGTTTTCATTTTGTGTTGGCTTCCATTTTTCGTATGGTACGTTACCACGACGTTATGCAAGAGCTGCTACAATCCAGAGGTATTGGTAACGACAGTATTTTGGATTGGTTATTTTAATTCCACTTTGAATCCCGTCATTTACGCCTACTTTAATAAGGAGTTCAGAGAGGCATTCAAGAACACGCTTGAGTGCATATTTTGTAGCTGTCGGCGACGCTCTTCCGATTTAGATGGTTTAGATGTAAGAAGACCTTCGATACGGTACGATGACAGGACAAGGAGCGTTTACTCCGAGACTTACCTAAAAAATATCGACAGGCGTAGCTCCGAGTACGGGTCAAGTCTCTGAGTAAACGTACCTAGTAGTGGACTAACGACTACTAGTTTTTAAGTCCACTACTAGCCTTGTTCTTTTCGTTAATGGTGCTAATCTCTAGGGGTTACGTTAATAATTGAGTTCATTGTATGAGCGAAAGTGTAGCGTGATGTGATTTAAAGTGATATAATTTTTATATTAGACTTAGGTAGAGCCTATAGCTTAAAGTTTGCAATTTTTTACGTGTATATAATCACTTATAACGCACCTAAAGCAAAACATTTTTATGTTTATACTATTAATTAGAGTACTTTCTGGCGTAATCGTACCAGATTAATAGAAAACAGCGAAAGATACCTAATAAGTATAAAATTGCTGCCTAAAGCAACCGAAATTATTTAGGGGATTAAACTTTCGGAGCGTAGAGAACTTATTGAGAATTTATTGAATGTCATAATTTTACAGCAGAGGCAGATTAAGACGATTAAAAACCAAGTAATTTATTTCTGGACCGTCTTCTATATTCGAAATTCGTGCTGATTCAATTAAATTTTCTACCTTCTTCGCTAATTGTAATATACCTATACCCCCGAAGTAATTTGAATATTTTTTTAATGAATCTTCGGCTTTTTCCTTTCAAAGAACTTGGTTGACAGAAATTGATATTATTGTGATGTTAAGTTTTATTATTCTAGTCATCTTAGAATTTAGAATCCCTAAATTGTATTATTAATTTATTTTAATAAGAATGAGACAGATCAATACTTTTATTACATGACACCTCATGACACTTTTAACGTAGTGTAAAGCCCCTAGTAGTACTAGTGTCCAGTATTGGAGGAACGCTGTGCAATGCTAGCCAAAGTTTGCAAAGAAGACGGCTTTTTTATATTTCAGGGTCGCATTTATAGGAACCAGGGAGTGCCTGTTTCCTCTAAATACAGGAATACAGGAAAATGACACACTGGGTAGAGTGTGACTGGAGTCTTCCTTTACTAAGTTTTCCCGATAATCACGAGTCTACTTTTGCAGAAAATTATGCCAAAGTTTTAAGCAATAATTAGTTTAATTAATATCCTGTGATAGCAGTTTGTAGATGTATACCCTGCTGAAAAATTCTGTCATTCGATTATTGCGTTACTGTAGAAGGACGAATTTGACTTTAGTTGTGTTTCTTTCAGTAGTGATGTTTGGTTCAATCTAGTACAAGTGTATTGTAGCAAAAGCGATCTTTTTGAATTTAAAGTGAAGCCTACTTAACATGTAGTCGAGAAATCTTGAATAAACGAATATATCCAAATAACGTTGCTGTAACTCGATGTTCGATGTTTTCAAGTCCTAATGTACTTACTCTCTACTGTAAAAAAATTTAATTGATATAGTTCTTACAAAATTCCATAAAAGTATAGTAGCGATATACAATCATTACTTAGCAAAATGTGCAATTAAGAAAAATGTGAATTTAGATATTGGGACGTAAAATAATCATCTATTTTACAAACTTTTTTGTGTACTTTTGACCAATGAATTTTGTAAAGCATTTCTTATAAGTGGGATCATAATATTATTAAACAAAACAATACAGGACTAATACATCGAAATAGCATAACCTGACGATTACTTTGCGCATTTAAACCAATCACACCATACGAAGGAGATTTTTTCATGTATACGTCTTCCTTTCAATGTCCAAGTGTTCGATAATTATTCAGAAAGTCAAAATCGCGTAGACGCAGATCTATACATTGATGTTTATAAATGTTTTATGTGAGAAGACGTGTTAGGTTACAACACTGTTACTTAGCAAAACACAATGAACTGAAAGTTTTTTTTTATATAAGCTTAAGTAATTCTTTATTTTTATTTTTGTATCATGTTAAGAACCACTTATTGGTTTATAGACTGTATACACTAGCATCGCTTACAATTGATTACTTTATACTGCGTTTGAAATTATCTACGTAAATCCATTAAACTCAACGTAATATTCTACGGTAAATTCCATTTAGTACTTACGTCGATATTTTCAAAGCATTAGAAGTAGGCAAAGAATATCTACCGCGATGTAGTTTAGGTCATTCATTCAAATTTTTGTAACATTACTGCTTTTGTTAGTGTAAATACTACGTAATTGATCACATACGTTGCTAATATTTATTATTATCATTAAACAACATTTTATAAGCGATAATAAATTACTTATACGTGTACATTGTAAGAAATAAGCTTTGTTTTTGTATATTATTGTAATTTACTGACAATTTGTTTTCTTTTTGAAAAAAGGAAAGAACTAATTAAACAGTATGATTTACTTTTAAATGTTTCATTTTCTTTTCGTCTAACTTCTGATTTAAATTAAGGAGGGCGAAGGAGCTACATTTTAGTCAATATAAAGGATTTTACGGTTCCGGGGTTAAATAAAACCCGTAAAGGCTAAATTGCTACAGTTATGGCGGATCCTTCGAAAACTCAATTCTATTAATAAAATGACAATAAAATCTTATTTGCTTCCGGGTGGCGAGACCGAATCAATATGATTTTTCATTAAATTGCGATAAAACGTTATGAAAGGAGATTGAGTGGGCCCTTATTCATAAGCGACTAACTCTTACGGATTTCGGCTTACGATAACTGCTCATTTGATAAAAGAACAGGGCACTATTTTAAAAAGGATTGAAGTAAATTACTTTGTCAGCCAAAATCGGTAGATTGCACTTTCGCTTTAGAATGACTTAATTTCAAGGGCCAACTTTGCATAATTATTTAGTCCAGTCACTTGCAGAACATCAGAACAAATTGAATGTAAACATATGTTTAAAACTAGCACTCCGTTGCCACCCCCCCCCCCCCATTTCGTGCCGTTGGTGACGGTTTTTTGCGCATCCAAAATTAGTGGAAATCAAGGTGATTCACATCCGAGAAGTGTATTTCAAAGCTTCTTCCATACGTCCGACGCCTCAATTTGTTTAATATAAAATACGGTTGAGGAAGAGAGATGTCTTTTCACTATTTCAAAAAATGCACTGTAGAAAATCGAAAATTGTCGAAAAAAAATTGTTGGCGGTCAATAGTGATCTACATTTTAAAACTGAAGGAACGCCAAGTAATGAATGGCTCGAAAAATGCACGACCCTAATAATCACTAAGTGTGCCTGTATTTCACTTCGTGGCTGGAGGATGGGCGAACCTAGTGCTTTCAAGTTTTTGAAACATCCCGTATGTATATATCTATGTATCGCATGGGTGGCACTCCTTAGGTCACATCAACAGCGGTATGTGTGACCTAATGACAGGCGTAGAACCGGGACCGCCAGCTTTAAGTGCCCTCCGAAGCATGGTAGTCAGGTGCTGTTCTGTACTACCAAAAACTGGCACGTTGTGGGATTCGAACTCACGGCCTGTGAGGTTCGAGTTCGAGTCTTAAACCGTTACGCCAAACTGACTATTAATATCCCCTGATTTTCGTCAATATGCAAGAACCCCAATATCTGACTTCCGATATCGCCACAGTTTTCTCTATCTCCTTTCGTTTTTCCGTAACGGACTTCCATAGTCAGACGAAAAACGCGGTATTTAACGTTGCCTCCCCAAATGAACTTATCTACAAAAAAAGTTGACAGAAACGGTCCCTGCGGCCTGAACATCATGGAAGTGGTCTCAGTAACAGATAAAAATTGCAGTTTTCAAGTTTCAACTTCTATCCCTAACCCTCAAATCTTGGTAAGATTGAAATTGGTATAAACAAGGTTACAATTTCAAACTGAATAACTAGAAAAATCAAACTTATCAAGTGTTCCAGTACTGTACCTCAAGTTTTTAAAACTTCACGACTGAAACTTGAAGAAAAAACTAAAATTTTCAAATGTAAAATAGCTAAAAGCTAACAAAAGTAACATAGGGCAGTTACGCAGAGATCAGTTAAATCCTTACGGCGTGTTCTCGTTGTGGCTTTATTTTTTTATCCATTGGGTGCATCCTTTCTGTGCGAAATGTCCTACTGAGAGACCAACTCCAAGCGTTTTCATACAAATAATATAATAAAGACGTTTATTCCCTGGATTTTGGATTATAAGGACACTTAAATTAAAAAGCGGACACCGTGTGATACTTTGGTTTAAATGGCATGTTAAAATGATATTCTAATAGGTTTCTTTGGAACAGTAAGAGTGGTAACAGTGATCGCTTTAACTGCAAGCGAGTAGATAAAGTTAATCAAATGATTGTGCATTGTAGGAAATCTGCCATTCGTGTCAAAATGGGACGTGGAACACGAAATAAAATGAAGAACAGAAAACAATATTTTTTTCCTGGAAACGACGTGAGAACTTAAGCTTGCTATTTTTGTCTAAATTAAATTCTGAATTTTCAGAAGCTTTATAATGATTTATATGGTTTATGCCTTAATGTTTAATGACATTAAATGTGAACTTCGTCTTTTTCAGGTCGTACGGTAATCTGATTTCTTACCCTTAAACAATAATTTTGTTCACGAACAGCTTCTTTAGTCTTGTTTGTGATCAGACACTAGCTCATTTGTCATCGGTTCTATTTTATCCCTTGCACTATTGTATCAGATTTTTAAATAATATAATAATAGATAATAATGAAGCGCACGTGAATGTTATCTATACTCACTTTCAGAAAGCTTTGGGTACTAATCATATTATCGAATAGATATTTTGAATTTAGTTGAGCAACAAAGTCGTTGTAGAAAAAAATTTTGTTATCGAGGATATCATTCAAGTAACAAATACAAACTTTATGAAAATAGGCCAAATCTGTTTGTGCATTTTAAACTAAAGTTGAGCTTTTGCACTGGAAATTTAACTGCCACATTTGCATCATACCTGATACCGTTTGTTGAGAACGGTCAGCTTATGGTGTCCGGAATGTTTGGGGGCGTTTTTATACAAAAAGAAACTAATGTTGAAGAGGTTAAAGAAATTATTTGTGTATTTCCCAACAGTATTACTGCCTACGCTTTACCGCCGACTGTAAGGTAATTTTATTGCCCGTATAACAGACTTACAAGTGCCACTATCTACCACTCTCATTGTTCTATAATTTATAGATTTTAAATAACAATTTAATCTAAAATCAATTCGGTTTAGTGCTTGAAGGAGAAAAGTAATTCCGAACTTTGCAAGATTAAGGTCATCCCAAGTCCAAATATTATAATCAAACTTTCGCCGGAGCAGAATTCAAGTTATAACATTACGCTTCCAATTCATTTTCGTTCCCACAATAGAACAAAAACGTAATTTCCATTGCATGGAAGAATCCCAAACAGCTATATTTTCAAAAGTTATCAAACTCCAACGTAACTTTATTGTCTAACCATAAAATTCGGTTCTCTTGCTTTTAAACCAGCGCATAATCCATTGAGAGGGGAATAATGAAGAGAATTTGTACAAGTATATAGAGGTGGGGTGAGAAAGGATTGAAAAAAAAACCAAATGCTGGCCAAAATTACGAGTATATCCAGCAGGTAGGTGTTTCTTTTCACCATTCATTTCGGGGTTTTCGAGATTAAATAATTCACGTAGTACTCGTTAGATGTTCGACTTATCAATGCTGCCTCTTGCAGATTATATGTATACAAAAAAACCAATTTAATTTCGTAACTTTTTTCGGATTTCCTTTATAATACCTTTCCTTAGATACTTTATGAAAGATTGTGCGACCCACATTTAATGCTCTGGTTGTAAATTCACTTGATTTTTAGCCAGTCTGTTCATTCACGACTTTTGGATTGACATGCCAATTGACTTGTATGTGACAGACATCTTGTTTTCTTATAATCTGTGCCGGCTCCATGCAAATACAGCTTTGAATAAACAAACAAATTTCATTCGAAGCCTGCTACAATTCACGTTTGCCGAATGTAAAATTTAATGACCGAAATCCTATTAAAAATATAATTGAAGTACTTTAATTAGAAACGGATGTCACATTGTTTACACGGCAACCGTAGATGATTAAATTCCGCATTACGTATTTAGACAGTGAAGGGGTCAACCCCAAATCTATACTACGCCGTGAAGTTTAGGTACTAGTTTTGTTAAGCCTAATGTACCTAGCTTCTCGTCTAAGCTTTTGAAAGGTGGTTTTTAGGTGGAAATTCCAGAATTGTAGATGGATAATTTCAAATTTATGTCCCTGGTATAGTAGATCGACTTTATCTTTGTACAAAAACTAATTTCATTGTAGTGATTTTTGTCTTTGGTGCCACGGTACCAAGAAACGACATTTTTTCAGATATAAACCGCATCACTTTAACTTCTAATTATTTTTCGGGAGAAAAGCATCCCATATAATACGAATTGTCCATGTTACATCTTGTTCCATTTTACGTACGTACGTCCATGGGACAAATATGTGCGTCTGATGTACGTACAGTCATGATCACAAACCATAACTCTATAACGTAACAAAGTACGTACATGGGACGCAGGTAATTTCGGTCAACTGATAATTTTTCATGTGATCATAACATGCGCACGCACTTTTCTCTTTCAAGTCCCAAGACCGGCTTTCCTTACTTTAGTTTTCTAATTTCTGGAGCTGGACGGTACGCGTGATCATTAGTATAAAAGTGGTAATAATATAACATTTTGTGCACTAAACATCAATTTGAAGGCAAGTACAACGATCTCGTTGTATTTTATCCTTTATTTATTATGTGATATCATTGAAGTTCATTATTTTGAAGATACAAGTATATACATAAATTGTGCTTTGTGGTAGCCGGTGACCATTTCATCGCAATCGTTTGAATTTGAAATTCAATTCATTTTACAATGTAATGGAGAAATTCAGAAAGCAAAGGCATATCCACCCGCGCACGGTGATTATTTATTACGTATACAGTCATGCTGTTGTTCAATAGAAATTTGACTGAACCGCACGGCTACTTCCCAAATAACACAAGTACGTAAATTGCAAATACATAGTACGTACAGCCCTGGATTTACGGACATGCACTTCACGTAAACTTACGGTTCGTGTACGCACATTTCACGTACATGGTATGTTATTTTTGCACCACTTACTAGGTTCGTACTTTGCCGTGCATACTATGTAGGGCAGAGTACGTACCTAGCATGTACAAAGCAGTGCAAACTGTAAGTGTACGTGGTATGTAAGTGCGTAAATCCAGCATTGTACGTACTATGTATTTGCAATGTGCGTACATGTGTTTTTTGAGATATTACTAGAAGTTTGCCTGGAGTCTTAAATCCATTTTCCCAAAACTGGTTGTTCTGAAAAGGATTTTGTATGAAAACTTCATAGTCTAATCTAGTCTACTCTGTCTAGCCTAGTCTAGTCTAATCTAGTCTAATAAAGAAATCAGAATGGGGTGGTCTTTAATTCTCGGTTGTTCCTGCAGTTTTCCTAATCCTTAAGGTGAAACCGGAGTAGTATAGGACAACTTAAGACCTTCTGCAGAAGTACCTAAAAAAGCAATATGCGGGCGACCCTATAAAATTGAGCGCATGCCTGTTGTGGGTTCAGAACCCGAGAGGGCTAATAATTAAATAAATAAATTAATTAATTAATTAATTTTTACTTGGCATTCACCACAAGGTTAACATTACCCGGGGTGGTACAAAAAGTCCACTGCAGGGCCCAGTGTATCTTTGGAGCGGTCACTTTCCACATTGTTTAAAGGGAGAGGCATTTTTCCTAGGAGAGAAAGGATCAATTATTGTAACCTGAACGTCAGTTACTGTGTGTTGCTGTGAATACTTTGTATTGTAGCACAGGGTTTTTGGTCATTTTGTTTCAGTAAATGGGAATTTTATCTGCATTTAATTTCAGTGTTACCGTTCCTTTGGTTGGACTGAAATTTTGTTTAGCATTGAGAAGGAGTTGTATACGTCCACCGGAGTAGATACCAATAGTTTATTATGTGGTTAAGGTAAAATATCTCGATATGTACTTATTAGAGTTCCGTCGAACCAGAACATGAAAATGAATTTTAGATCTTAGAAGGAAATAAGAGGCCAAACATCCGCAAGGTAAGAGGTATAAAAAAACATTTTTATTACTGCGCTAGCCGTTGGCAAATGAAAAAATTGAATGGTATATTGGGACTTTCGGCAGTGCCGTAGAGATTCAAATCAACAATTAAGTAGACGGAGTATACAAATGTACAATAAATTAATGGGGTAACATAAGGAAGAACTTTACCCGAAATTAGTCTAAAGGAAGTAGTAATTGCAACTGCAACTAAAAAATGGAAAATGAATTTTAAACCAAATTGTGTAGCAAAGGACGAAAATGAATGAATAATGGTAGATCAGAACATGAAAAAAGAATAGGTTTGGAAGGAAATGAAATGGAACTTAAAGAAAAAAAATGTACGAGAAGAAACCAAACGAAAATTACAATGTAGCACTTGGTGAGTGGTGACAAAAGAGAAGTTTTTATCGTTTAAGTTAAAAGCTTCTCTCTTGCCTCAAATTTACGCTTATCGCTAAACCGCGTGTCTTTATATCTTCTATAGACTCATTGCAAGTATGGTCGTTCCTTTTAATTAAAGTAATTAATACAAAATGTTGTCGCATAAGTAAAAAACAAAAGCGAACGCGTTTGGGTTCGGGCCTATGTCATTGGCCGTCATAATCGAGAAGCGTCTCGTGACGGATAAGATGAATACTTGAAGCGTAAAGTCATACAGCGTGATAAGAGACTTCATAAAGCTAAATTAGCATTTCCACTGACAGGCAAGGTGTTAAATATTGTACCTGCCGGTTGAGGGTGACCGCCTTCTTGAATTTTTTAAAATGACAACGTAAGTCATGGCCCTCAAAATTAGGGTAATGAAGAAATTTCATTCACAAACATTGTAACAGTATTTCTGTACAGCTTATAAACTTTTATTTTTACGTGATTCAAGTGTCCAGTCTAAATGTAATCATGACTCCCAAGTATGAATGATGTAACTGAATGGGAATGCATTTAAAGGAGAATTGTTTATTTCAAGTTATTGTAGCTGAGTATGCATTTCAAAGATAGCTGCTATGACGCAGAAAGAAAATTAAATATAAGTAAATATCTCGACGTAAATAGAATTGCATTCATCGTATGTAAATAGATAAATTAGGGTACAAAACTGCATAGAAATAACGAGTATTAACGCAAAGGTCAAAGTCCGAGTCATTGTAAATAATTAATTGAGAGCTAGTAGAGCGATTCAAATCCGTCTATTCTCTACCGCTGCCAAAGTGTCAAAAGCTTAAGTCACGGGCGTTCAAACTATTTATACATGTGTGAGTTTGCGCGATAAAGCGAATTGAGGTCAGTGGATACTAAGTGAGACAGTATAAATACGGGGATTTCAAGCACCAGAAGGAGTTCGCGTCCGGTCTTCTAAGTGATCGATTCGTTTTCTAAGACCCGCCGAGTAACCAGTCCCGCAGAAGCCCAGCAGAGCCCGCAGAGCCGTCCCTGTTCCAAACAGCCGCGCGGAGCCGAGTCGGAGACCAACCGGTCTAAAGCTGCTGCGAGAAAGGTGAAATCAATTTATTTTTTTATTTCCGCTCTCGTAACCCATCCCTAGATTAGCCGCCTGTACCACCCATTACACACTCGGGGTGTTTCTGCACCCCGGTCATTATCTATTACCACTCAGAATCTTGCCATGGTTCGCCCTGGCTGTTCTGCACCCCGTCCCTCGGGACCTAAACAACCCGCTCCTCGTCCACCCAATCCCCCACAACAAAAACAACCTAAAACGAAAACCCAACTACTCAAACCTCCGCAGCACAAACCTTCTCAATTACCCCTCCCTCGAACTCCTCCGCCAACCCAGCTACCTCCCAACCCCGCATCTTACTCCACGACACTCCGCAAAGCCCCTACACCACCACCACCACCAGCACAATACACAGAATACACAGATCAGCAACTACACCCCGCCACACACAATCCTCCCACTCCACCACTTACTCAATCCGCCAAACGAACGCGTACCATTTCCACCTCCTCTTCCGGTTCCGCCATGTCCCACCACTCGATAACCCAAACCACAACCTATCGCTATTGCATTCGCAATATTCTCACCGCCATCACCTCCCAAAAACAACTGTACAACTCCATCCTCACCTTCAACCTCCCGCTTACGAACCTAAAATTCAACCACAACCAGTCAGCCCTTATAGAAACTAAACTCCCTGTTGCTTTCGACCTCTCCAAAAAACTCCAACACCTATTCGGCGATCCCAACGTATCCTTCACCCAACTATCCGGTCCAAAACCCCAAACCCACACCCCTAAACCACCATCTTTCTCCTGCGTCATCCGTAATGTCGACCGAGACATCACGGAATCCGAAATCCTGCAAGCCATCAATCTCCCCAGAATTACCCGCGCTCTGCGCATCATCTCCCGAGCGACCAACCTCCCCACCACCTTTGTACGGATCATTACAACCAGCAAATCCACCCTAGAACACCTCCTCCAACACGGTATCTGCATGTTCAGCAGACACTATCCCTGCGAACCGTCCCACATTCCAGACCCTACTCCTAAGTACTGCTCCCTATGCACCAAAATCGGCCACCTCTCCTCCGAATGCACTACCCGCGTCCAAATCTGTCCCTCCTGTGGTGAAAACCACAAACCCAACATGTGCAAACCCGACACCCAACCCAAATGCAATAACTGTTCCGGACCCCACCCCACCTATTCCTTTGAATGTACCAAACGCAAAGAAATCCCCAGCACTCCCGCCGAAGCAGCTCCACCCAAACCCGCCGACACCCAGTCCGTCTCCTCCGAATCCTCCGCACTACCAGAAACCGCCTACTACCTACGCCAAACCGACTTCCTACGAACCATAGCCCTTACCTTCATCCATCTTTTCCCCGACCGCCGTTCGGAGGTCATCCAAGCAATCGACCAAGCGTCCCAACCATTCCTTAACCGAAGAACCTGGGCATCCTTCTCCGGAAACGTGGTAGCGTTTTCCACTCCCTACATAGTTATTTCTTAATTCCGCAATCATGGATTTCGTCGTCGGTACCGTTAACTCCTGTGGCTTACGCCGCAAACGCCCCCTCATAAAAAACCTCCTGCACTCTGACCAAATTCAGATCCTCTCAATAACTGAAACCAAACTAACTTCCAACGCCGTCCTCTCTTTCAGAGACTACAAAACATTTCAAAAAAACAGTTCCCTCAGGGGAGCACGCGGAACGGCCCTGCTTATCAGGGACCGCTTTCCCTCCACTCCATTAACACTTCCGCCCCACCTTCAACACCTAGAATGTGTTGCCGCCACCGTCCACTTCCCCAACATCAATATCAGCTTCTTCAGTTTTTACAATCCACCCAATGACCCCCTCCCGGATGACCTATTTCGGTATATCTCCACACTCCGCCACACCGTGTTGCTGGGGGATCTTAACTCCCGAAACACCCTCTTCGGCGATTCCACCTGCAACCCCAACGGCATTATTCTCGCCAACCACCTAATAACCCTTCCTATCTGTCGTGTTAACAACACCACCCCAACCTTTGTCTCGCACAACGGAACTTCTATTGTCGACCATATCATTTTCACCGAACCCCTCTTCCGCTACATCGACGCCAACTGCTTCCTAGGCACCACAATCACCTCCGATCATCTTCCTTTGCTTGTCCGCACGAACTTCAGCCCGCCCCCTGCTCTTCCGCCCACGGTGATCTATAAAAAAGACTTTTCCAGAGCCAACTGGAAAGTTTTTGCCCAACACATCACCGAAAACATTCAGCCACACCCTTCTCTCGAAACACCACAAGACGTCGACTCGGCAGTCGACACACTTACCACCACCATTTCCGATGCAGTCTCCATCGCCGTCCCTACGAAACCCCATCATCTCTATCGCCAGAAGCTCCCTGATAGGATACTTAATCTCATTAGGGAGAAGAGGCGAGTGTTCCGTCAATACCTACGATCCCGTGACGCCGCGCTCAAGACACAATACAACAGACTGAACTCCCTAATAAGACGAGAAACGACACGACTAACTGAAGAGAACTGGGTCAGGGTGACTTCCGCTCTGGACTACAGAGACGGACGTCGATACTGGCACCAGTTCAACGTACTGACCGGCAACAGAAAAATCCAACGAACCCACCTAACAGACCAAGGAGGCAACATAGTATCCACAGACAAAGACAAGGCAGATTTATTTGCCAGACACCTACAAGAAGCCTTTCAATCACCCGACCTTCCCAACTACGATCTCGAGTTTAAGCTGGCGGTTGAACAGCGGTTAGCTTATTTTCGGGATCAAGACGTCCCTCAACAACCTCCTGACGATCCCCTCCTTCAGCCAATACCCCCCCCAAACAATTGTCGACACTATCAAAAGTGGATGCAATTCAGCACCCGGACCGGACAACATAAACAGACTGATACTACGCCACCTTCCTCCCTCCGCAATCACATTGCTATCCACCATCTACAACCGCTGCATCCAACTCCCATACTTTCCAGCACCCTGGAAATCCTCATCCATAGTCATGATCCCAAAACCACAAGCAGATACCACCAGAGCATCCTCTTACCGACCCATATCTCTCTTAAACTGCATCGGAAAAACCCTCGAACAAATTATGGCCCAACGATTAAGACACCATCTGGAGACTAGCAATCTCCTACCTCCCGCACAGTTTGGTTTCAGACCCCTTAGATGCACCCAAGATCCTCTCCTTAAACTGCAATCAGAGATTGTCAGATCCTTCAACAACGGCAACTGCACTCTCGCAATTTTCCTAGATATCAAACAAGCCTTCGACTCTGTCTGGCACGCCGGACTAATCCACAAGCTCCGCTCCCTGAATATCCACGATAAAATGACCAAATTCCTGCTATCATACCTTTCCAATCGAACTGCCAGAGTAAAAGTTGCCAGTGAACTATCCGATCCATTCACACCCCTCGCAGGGGTTCCCCAAGGCTCACCTCTCGCTCCCCTTCTTTACATCATATATACTAACGACACACCACAACCAGGCAACGCCAAAACCAGTTGTACACTATTCGCAGATGACACTGCCTTTTGGACAACAGACCGCACCAGCACAAGAGCCACACGCACACTGAACGACACTCCCACACGACATGGGCCAATCGCTGGAGAATCCAGTTAAATCCCGAGAAAACACAAACAATACTCTTCAGACACCCCGACTACAGTAAAAACCCACGACAACAACACGAAGACGTTCACCTATACCTGAACAACACACCGCTACAGCTCACAAACCGAATCAAGTACTTGGGAGTTCATCTCACAAGTACGTTGAATTGGAACCACGACCTAACGCTCACACTAGACAAAGTTAGGAAACGCATACAACTACTGAGCGCCCTTCGGGGTCGCATCAACGGATGTGACCCCAGAACGCTCCAACACACTTACAAAACGTACATCAGACCACTCATCGATTACCGAGCCCCCCTGTACTGCACCCTCTCCTCTAGTCAACGACACCAAATCGCCGCCTGCGAACGCAATATCTTACGGAAAATACACAGACTCGATCCACGCCACCCTTCCGACCTTACCATCGAACACGCAAACATACAACCTATCACACACAGACTCGCATCCCTACAAACAAGATTTGCACAGCGCAGGGTCCACGGCGACACCCAGCCCACCAAAGATATCCTAAAGATCCCTTGCAATAAATCCGCCACAGGATGTCCCCTTCCCCGAAAACCCAAAAGGAAATTCAAATTCCCTCCCGTACTCCTAACCCAACTACTCGAAGACCTACCCCAGGAATTCGAAGAGCTCATTGACAACGCCCCTTACACCATCCGGTAACGCAAACCATACTAAAAAAACCAAAAAGAAACATTTACTGCCTTCTCTTTTTTTCTTTTTCAGATGACACACGTACCGGAATCCAACACCAACAACACCACCCTCACCAATCCTACACCGAACGAGAACCGACCGCGAACTCTACCACCCCCTCGAGAACGACGACGCGCAATGCACCAAGGACACGAGCCGATACCTGCACAATATAGAATAGATAAATCGCACGCATTGTAAATACATTTCATACATCACGTACTAACCAAGGGCTGAAGAGGACACAAGTCCTGAGCAGTCCGCCATTCATCTAATACTAACAATTAATGTATCATATACCTATAAGATGTAAATAAACGTATTTTGATTGATTGATTGCACCAGAAGAGAGTTGCCCGTCGCCGTTTTCCGGAGCAACATCTATGTCAGTCGCGCCCGTAAATTATAAGCGCGAAGATTAATAAAGCGTTAAGGCGACTTTTATAAGAAAAGCAAGCAAAAGAACCGAGTGAAATAATCTCCATCGAGCCAGCGTAGGAGACGAAAACGTTTCTTCCCAGCGCGCCGAAGAAAATTGGAAATTTACGAAATTACAGAAGACAAGGATTCCGTTGTCGGTACGTGCGCAATCCAGCTGGAGAGTACCAAACTGCGATCAAGATAAACCAGCCTGCCTGTGATTGGTCCAGCTCAAAAGCGAATAGCAACCTGCAGTGGGCGGTCTGAATTCATTCGACTTCCACATCGATCGTGCGACAAGTGATCTCCAAGTCCTGGTGCACTTATGAACTCGAGGTATTTGTAGACAATAATTCGTTGTAGTTCGCCTCGTTGTCGATTAATTATTTCGTTGTAGTTTGCCTCGTTGTCGATTTATTATGTCGTTGTAGGCTTATTATTATTACAATTCACATAATAAATACATATTTTCCTTTATATACAGTGACTTTTTGTGTATGAATGAGTTAACTTTATTTTCACAGGAGTGTGTACCGCCTCACCCCCATTTCTTTTAATATGTGTTACTTACAGATAAAAGGCGATTTCTAAGACAAAAAGAACCCAACAGGTATTAATAAAGATTATTGATTTTTATTCATTTATCCTTTCCCCTCTCCTTGAGGCCAGAAGAATTATCGACTGAAGCTAGCCGGCGCCCAACAACCCGTAATGTTTATAGGAAGAACCACCCCCAAATAAAGGATTTTAAGAAGAGACGGTAAAGAGAGTTTGAAAGTAACCAGCCGGTTACAACATGCATAACAGTAATGCCTCATTGAAGTCCGTAAATCAATATTGGAAACTGTTTCAGCATGAGCGCCTTGTTCCATTACTTTATAGCAACCTCGTATACTTACTGTTAATGGCCTTTGCCTAATAAAATAATTTGGATCTGCAATAGAATACTGACATTATCGTTAAAGTCGTCGGCTCCTAATTTGATGGGTCACAATATTAATAAACATCTCGTGATTAATATATAACGTTAGGAATTATAAATTATTGTAGTTTCCACCATTTCAGTGTAAAATTTAATCAAATTTGAGTAGGATCGAGCACCAATCCTAATCACTGACATATCCGAATTCAATCTCTCAGGTCCCTAATAGCAGGATTTTATCCCTTATATTTCGCCGACATGCCAATTCCAGTTATCATGCGAAGTATAATATTCAAATTTCAGAGAAAAGTTACTTGCAAACCAGTCGGCGCAATTATTGGCATTTATACTATTTTGTTTATTGGTTTCTGAGGCAAATCACTTTTTGTCATTATAAACGAGAAAGTGAAAATTTAGAATAATCCTTTTATTTCCTTAGAAAAACAGTCCCACGTTGACCATTTTCGTATTGGAATAAACGGAAGATGAATACCCAGCTTTGCGCTCGAGATTCTTAATATTATTCAGCGTACAGTAACGCCTTACAGCAACAAGAGAAATTTAAAAATCGAACGAATATCTGAGTTCCTCTTATGGCAGAAGAGAAATGGTTGAAAGCGTACCTACAAAGGAAATAAAAAGGAGCCATAAAAAGGTTTAATTTTTACTGTTTCCGGCAATAGATCTCGCTATCTCTCGGTTTCATGAATTAAGCTTTGTAATTGTGAATTATGACCCTAGCAGAAGCTGCTATCAATACGCTCACTGATTTATTATTAGGTTAATTATTCCTTTGGTAGTAACATTTTCAGCTTCAAACCGTGCGGCAAAAATTAGGATAATTGGCGGAATAAATCCCGTGCATCTCGCTATTAATTTCCACCATTAAAAGCTATTAGTTTCGCTCCTATACATGAAGCTGCGTGCTCATTTCCCAAAGGTAGGTACTCGTTCCAGTAATGCAATAGAAATGTTTGGATAAAAAGCTAAGATGAATATGAATTACAAAAAAAAGGTTACAATTGCAAAAGTTAATCTGCTTCTTATTGTCTCGTCTATTTGGGCCTTTTGTTCTGTGTAACAATGGGTAGACAAACTTTGGAACGTTCGCTTAGATTCTCAACGATAATCCTTTAGATACTACAGAACTGTTCTTTTCTAAAAGTCAACTGTGTAAGCAAGCATAAAGAAAGCTATTTATATGTCTGAAGCTTTCCTAGTCTCAAATAAATTACGAGGTCGCAAAGTCGAGAGGACGTTCTCCAAAATCAACGGATTTCCTGCAGTTTGTTTCAGATATGAGTCCACCTCTAGTAAAAACCTGATTGTCGTATATACAGTGACATTTATTACAAAGTAGACATAGAGATTTGCGTGTATTGTTTTTCCCTATGTCTCCCTTTAAATGACAAAATCTCTTAATTAATTAATTTGAATATTGTTTCTTTGGTTTCCGTATATTTATATTGGTTCTTGTGCCATTTATTCTCATGAAAAATAAGTTGATATTTTCAATCGGTATAGTGTCGGTAACAGTAACAGTAACAGCGAAAGGAGCGTAAGAGATTTATTTTCTGTGAATCCAAAGCAACAATATTCAAATGAATTCATATGGCATTTATTAAGGATCCTCAGGTCCTTTATAATTTTATATTGTCGTCCGTCCGTCCGTGTGCGCTCTAACTCTAAAAGTGTTCGATTGTGTTGAAATTTGGTATACAGGTACTTTGGACATTAAGGACGGACGTTATTGATTTTCAGGAAGCTGGTTCAACAGGAACAAAAGTTATAGGACTTGGAGTGAATCGGGAACAGGAAAAACTGCGGGCTCAATATAATAGAAATCAACATATTTCATTCCCTATGTCATGTATCGAGTTCAGACTTTCGCTACATTATTCCCTATGACTCTTAGATGTGTAACAATTCTAGATAACTCTTCTCTGTGGTATAGGTCGAAAGTTTTAGAGCAAAATGTATCCAAAATAATACTTTATACATGAATTTCGAGTTTTAAATGGTTTCAAACGCATTATCTTGATGCTGAAAGGGTACATCAAGTGCACATTTGATAACTGCATGTGTGTAATTCAAAGATGTGAAATTATTTTTCTGAGGTCACATCGATTTTGATCAAAACATGTCAAAATCGTTATTTATGCACCAAGAACGTTGGGAAAAAGATCAAGAGCATTATCTCAATGACCAAAACATGAATTTGATCTATTTTTGGCGACCACATGGATTTTGATCTAAACATGTCAAAATCGTTATTTATTCACCAAGATCGTTGGGAAAAAGACCAAGAGCATTATCTCAATGCCCAAGACATGAATTTGATGTATTTTGTAAGATTAAAATAAATTATCGTTAAAAGTGATTGTTATACTGAGGATCCTTCGATATTTCGTTGTATCGGTTTATTTGTTTTAAGAAGTTACTTTAGATGCATAAAATTAGGCGGCCTTCAGAAGGGACTTTGTTATTAAAAAGCAGACATAGAGAAAACGATACACGTAAATCCCTATGTCTACTTCTTAATAAATATCACTATATAATGTGACTCAATAAACATTAATGGCAGTTACATTTTGGTATGTCCTTTCTGATTGTATAAACATTTTTATGTCTTACTAACCTATCATAGCACATTTTATATCTGTGATACGCGGGCATAAAGTACCACTTTATTCCCTAGGGCATTAAGTATCACCATAGTAACTTATTTATACTTAATGACAAAACGAACAAATATTTGCTGGTCATTGAAAATTAGAAACGTCAATTATTAATTGTCATTACCTACTAAATCACAAGATTGGCCTTATTTCGTATAGTTTCTGGAACTTCTTGCTCATTCACGATGAATTGAATTATTTAAAATTACGTTTGGATGGTTTTAATCACATTAACAAATTCGAACCACGCATACTCGATCAAACATAATGAATTATTTTGTAAACGAATTTTGACGAAGAAAACTATTTGTAAAACATAAAATTGTGTATGTACCTACCACGGGCATATACTGATGTTTATACTCTCGGGCGACTAAAAAGCTCTCGGGCCATAGGCCCTCGAGCTTTTTAACTCGTCGCCCTCGAGAATATAAACATCACTATTATGCCCTTAATACATAAATAACTATTACAGAAGGGGTGTACACCTACGTCTAACCGAGAGTTAAATTTTACTCGAAATCGTATGGCAGGAGTCATTATCGACATTCTCAATGTGACAGGTGCGGCGAGAAAAGTGACAAGGGTGACCGGTAAAGTGACAGGCGGCAGCAAGAGTAGTCTGGTACAGTTTTACTCCCACTGGCATGCAAACTAAAACATAAAGTAGGCATGAAAATGAAGGTTTCATGACGATTTTTGGTAAAGGGATTTATTGCCCATTGTGATATTTCTGTGAAGTTTCCTTTCGTGCAGTGTTACTGATACGCTTCATTGAACACGCATTTGCGG